CTGAATTACCAGTGCAGTTTCTTGTTAAAGCCCTTTTCCAACACTATAATTCCTTTGGCAAATCATAATTATGACATAAAAAGTCTAAATTGTGTGGTAAAAAATAAATCATCACATAAAAACTTAAAAGTTATGACAAATAACTAATTATGAGATAAAAGTACAAATTTGCACAAGTTAAAGTTATGACAAAAATGCCCAATTTAGATAAAAAGTCAAAAATGACAAAAAAGTTACAATTTTGAAATAAAAAATTAAAACTTTTAGATAAAAACTTTGAAATTGACAATTAAAATGATTAAATAAAAATTAATAGTTATGAGAAAGAAAAAAAAATCAAAATTGGCATACGTTTTTGTGTGTGTGTCATAGTTATGACCATTCATGATTATGTCCTTGTATCTCATAATTTCAAACTTGTATCATAATTTTGACTGTCATGACTTTGTATCTCATAATTTGGACTTTATATAGAATAATTATATGTATCTCCTAATTATGACTCACTAAAGCATGATGTTTTTTCCTGGGCTTCTTCCTCTTCTTGTGTGCTGCAGATTTGGACGGCATTCCCATGATGAGATGTCCATTCTGGCACCACTGACCCAATGTTGCATGTAAGGATTGTTCTCAAATATAAAAAAAAATTTTTTTCAATTATTCTGAAGCTCATTTAAAGGTGCATTGTGTAATATTTAGGAGGATCTGTTGACAGAAATGCAATATGAAATGCATAACTATGTTTTCAGTGGTGTATAAAGACCTTACTTAATGAACCGTTATGTTTTTATTACCTTAGAATGAGCCATTTCTATCTACACACACGTCCCTTTACATTGAAATGCGCCGACATGTTTCTACGGTGGCCCTAAACGGACAAACGCGTTTCGTCGCCATGTTGTTCTTCGTGCAAGGAAGCTAGCTAAAGTTAGCTAATAAAAAACTGACACAATGAACAAGTAAAAATAATATTCGCAATAACATATCGTTTTACTGAATAATCAAGTAAACCTAATTTCTTAATTTATCTTTGTAAAGAAACCTGCTTAACTGGCTACTCTCTGCTGCCTCAGACGACGACATCATTTCCTGTCGGCCACCGTAATTTCTGTTGGGTGCAATTCACAAGCTCACCACTAAAACTACACACTGCACCTTTAAGAAGCGTATGTACAAAGATGGTCTTATTCACAAAACCCATGACCTCTTACAGGATCAAGCGCTCTACGCTGTTCAGACTGAAGCTTTTGGCGAAGTCCGAGTACCGTCTGAGTGACGTAATGAGGGAATCCCTGTCGCGAGACCCTCTCACGCCGGTCTTGAGTGACGAACACCTGCAGGCCTTGGACCGCCGGCTGGCACAGGTGCTCAGGACAGTGGGGAAGTGTGTGAAGAAGCTGGGAGAAACACATGTGGTGATCACAGACTTTGTGGAATCATCCGGAGTAACTACAAGACACCGAGGAGGAAATAAGAGGTGACAGAACGAAAAGAGCTCGGGTTAGAGGAGATATCAGAGAGGATCATCACATCTAAAGACATCAGGAGGAACATTATTCACTTCTCTGATTGGCTGAAGGTCTGTGTGGTAACACTTAAAAAACGTTCCCAAACAACATCTTTAAGTCAAATTAAAAGTCAGAATTATGACATAAAAAGCCATGATTATGTCAAAACTGACAAAAAAAGTCATAATTATGTCAGTCAAAATGATCACATAAGTCAAAATCATGAGACAAAAATAAATATGAGATAAAAAGTTGAAATTGCATTTTTAATTTTGAGATAAAATAATAGAGATAGTCAAAAATTGAATTAAGGTCACTTAACTTGTATGAGATATGAGTTCAAATTAAAATGATCATATACAAGTCGAAATATGAGTTGTCAATTCTAAAAAGTAGAATTTTTGTCATGACTTTTCATGTCATAATTTTGACAGTCATGATTGTGATTTGGTATCTCATATCAACTTATTGTTGATAAAAACCCTCCCTATATTAACACCTGCTTTAAGTAAAATAAAAAGTCAAAATTATGACATAAAAAGCCATAATTATAAGTGTAAATAGACAAAAAGTCAAAATCATCACATTAGTCAAAATGATGAGGTATGTCATAAAGTCAAAATGATGACAAACATTGAAATTGAGCTAAAAAGTTGTAATTGCATTTTAATTTTATTTTGAGATCAAGTAATAATAAAAATAAGAAATCCAAATAAGGTAGAATTATTGTGATAATTATGACTTTTTATGTCACAACTTGTTGATTATGATTATTTCATAATTTGGGCTTTTTAATCTAATATTTATGACCTTGTTTCTCCTGATTGGCTAAAAAAGGTGTTGTGTGGTGTTACTTTAAACCACTCCTAACTAACAGCACCTCTGATTGGTTGCAGTGAGATGGTTTAGGCGGGTTAGTTAGCTCTGGAGAAGCTGCCGGCAGCTGACAGATGATGAGGAGAAGCTCTTCAGATCTCCTTACATCAGCAAACACGTCATCCATGTGGTCCTTTAACTGCACATTTCCTCTGATTATCCGTTCCCTTTCTGTCCATTTCTACACAAACAGCCATTAGTGGCGTCTGAGCGCAAACAGCCACATCAGCAGCAGCAGAAGAACACCGAGAGCTTACTTCATCTGCTCGTACTTCACAGGAAAATGGATAAAACCAGGTTTCCTGAGCAGTGATGCAGCTTGTGGTTCGCCTCACTTTTGCAATATTGTATTGTGAGTTGAAGCTGGCTTAAACACGTCACCGTTAGTGTCTCAAAACATTGTACAATCAATGACATTGTAAATCAAATGCTCAAAATTTGGAGAACTGAACTGGTGGTGGTGGATAAAATCTGAAAAACTAAATCAGATCATAATTATTCATGAATAATTGTCACATCGCTTCATTAAAATGCCAAAAACATTTGCATACTTTCTGATTCAGTGCATTTCCTAACGACCAACTGACGGAAGGCTTTATATGACATCATTATAACCTTTCTACACAATTCAGAGTAATAATAAAATTAAAACATGATCTGGTTTTAGCACTCCAGCTGCCCTGACTTGTCTAAGCTAGTACACGAATTACTAAATTAATTCAAAATTCATAAATTATTCAGGCCCATCTGTTGGATGGGAACTGAAAATAATAACTTGAAGCAGTAGCTGGCACTTTTTTATCATTTGAGGCTATAATAATATTAATAATAATGATTTCAGCAAATGCCACATAACACGCAGGATGTCTGGAATTACATTCCTGCAGTAAATAGTGTGTGTATTAATATCACAGCATTCAAATGTTCTTCAGAATGCATCAAGTGCACAGATGATATACTGTCTTTACCAAAATGTTCATTAAACACTAATGTTCGGGTCAGTAAGATTTCTAAGCTTTTTGAAAGAAGTCTTTTCTGCTCATCAAGGCTGCATTTATTTGATCAGAAATACAGTAAAAACTGTAATATGATCAAATATTATTACAATTTAAAAGAAGTGTTCTCTCTTTTAATATATTTTAAAATGTAGTTTATTCTTGTGATCAAAGCTGAATTTTCAGCATCATTACTCCAGTCTTCAGTGTCACATGATCCTTCAGAAATCACTCTAATATGATGATTTGTTGCTCAAGAAACATTTATGATTATTATCAGTTGAAAACTCAAAAGAACAGCATTTATTTTAAGTAGATTTTTTTAAATAACATTGGGTTTACTGTCACTTTTGATCCGTTTAATGTGTCCTTGGTGAATACAAGTATGATTTGTTTTTTAAAATCAAACCCCAAATAGTGAACAGTGTAGTATACAAAAATGCTCAGTGCATGTTTATATCCCACAATGCAATGTACTCAAGAGGACCTTCCCTTTCTGTGACAAATGAACCAGAAGTAAAAAAAAACAACAACATAGAATTCATTAAAAATGCGAAATAAGAAGTTATTTTCAAGATGATAACTGAACCGTACTCACATGCAACACAATGCGCTCATGTACTGTAGAGTTAGAGTAATAATTCTCTCAGTTGAACACTGCCCTCTTGTGTCTGGAACATCTATATGACAACTTGAAATACATTTTGAGCATTTGTCTGAAAAGAAAGTGTTTCACTGCAGCCGATTGTTCAATATTCCAACCTTTTTATTGCTTGAACTGCCATTTGGACGATCGATACCAGAAATGATTATTTCCTGCGCAGAACTCACTGGAAATGAAACGACACATTTGGGTAACATTGACAAATAAAACATCATTTGAGGTCTGTAATATATCAGCAGAAGCGTTTGGGTTTGAAGGAGCATCTAACCCACGGGAACCCTGTAGAGTTCAGATCCAACACACCTGTCTGTGATCATCGTGTGTGTGTGTGTGTGTGTGTGTGTGTGTGCGAGCTGAACTCTACAGGAATCCAATTCAACAGTCATTCTCCATTCTGTCCATTCACACAGATAGAAAACACAACAAGCATCACTGCCATGAAGACGGGACGCTTATCTCAGGGGAAGTCGAGCTGATAAACGTCACGAAGATGCAGCTGAAAGAATTCGGGAAAACCTTTGCGTTACACCTTTTTAATCTGCATTTCTCAAAAACTAAAGCGAGGAACATCTTGTAAATAAAGAGAATCAAACATTGATCACTCTGGATTGTTGAACGGCAAAACAGAATACGGACATGTAAACATCAAATCGCCACGGATCCGTTTTTATAAAAATGTATCAAAGATGTTGCCGTCGTTCATGAAACGTGAGCAGAATGGATTTCATTTTCTGTTTCACGAACGCGGCCGACTGTGTTTGCGAGACCACGGCGTTGACGGTAAAACTTCATTTCATAATCCTTTCGCTTGTTTTAGTTCGCCGTTAAAACAGAAACAAGCCGGTTTAAAAAATGGCCACAGAAACACTTGAAATTATGACATGCGACTAAATACGCCACTGTGCACTTTTGTGGAAAAATAAGCTTATTAAAAAATAAAACTGGTATTTTCTCGGCATATACTGACGAAAAGGTAAATACTGAATCATCCTGACCGAAAGCTTTTCTCAGTCGGTGACGGCGCACATGCAGGAACGTACCAATGAAATCTCGGAGGCTCTGTCCAACGTTTGGCACTGGCATTGTAACAGAAACTACCGTCGGTTTGAGTTTTCCTTCAAAAATCAGTTTGAGAAATTTGATCAGCCACAATAAAACCTATATGGATAGACACCGCACAGGAACGGCCTCACTAATTTACTACAATAAGCAACCGAACACAAATAGCAAGAGCGTGTGCTGGAATGATAATAAGTAATAAAACAGCATCCAGTTCCTATATGTTCATGTTCCTGACTGTGACAGAGGAGGGGAATGAGGCAGGAAGGCTTGAAGAATCGAGTCAGAATGTCAGCACAGCCAAACATCACTCATAAATCATATATGTAGGCAGTTAATCTTAAAAAACTAGTCTTAAAAAACTAACCTGCGACTGTGAGGGTAAAGGAAGTCGAAACGGCTTGCCTATAAATACATGTATACTCCTCTACTGTTTTTGTTTACTGCTTGGAATTAAAGGTTTAAAAACACTGTGATCTGATTGGAGGAACGTACATTGATTGTCTGTCCTTTGATTTGGCTCTAAATGTGGGATGTTAAAGCTCTCGGGAATACGAGGTGTGGATGAGGAGCTAGCGGCGTGACGGGGGGGTTCTCAGACGGAGAGCGACACGAAGCTGTTGTACTGTTGGATGTTGCGTTTGAGGATGTCTGAACACGGTCCCAGCACGCGCTCGAAGCGAGGCCTGTCCAGCTTCACACATTTGAGCGGCCCACGAGCCACCACTGTCGCCGCACGGGGCCGGTTCATCAGCAGAGCGATCTCGCCTGGTGAGAGAAACACACAAATATTAAAAATCATAGTTTTATGTTATTTCATACATTTTCTAGACTTACTGTATAGCTTCATGAATAACTAATAAGGGGCGTATTATAATGAATAAGGTGTATCATATCCAATAAGATAGATTTGGAATTTTATTGACAGGACATATTCAGAGACTAACTACTATGTATGTACATTGAAAGAAATTGTTAGGTACAGTGTGCTTATTGTGTACACTACTGCAAAACACTTTTGCTGCTATTGAGATGGATACGGGTCAGGGTTGGGACAGGTTTGGTGGTAAGGGAAGGTCAACAGTGTAATTATAGATGTAATAACAGAAATTAATTACAGCTGTGATTGCATGCAGGCATTTATAAATAGAAGAACAATGTGAAAAACAATAAGTGCACTGTATCAAATGATTAACTTAAATGTGACAATATAAAGTGGGACCCAGAGACTAGGGCTGTCAACTTTAGTCGTTTAGTTTAGTCGACTAATCATTCGATGCCGTCTTGGTCGACTGACATTCTCATTGGTCGACCAGTTGCATTTTTTTTTTTTACCAATTGAAAGAAATTCTCATTGATTTACTCAGCAGTTATATATTAGCCTGTGTTTTATCCCCAACTTTAAATGCTGTAATTTACCGTAAAACTTCAAATAATAGCCGAGTCCCAAATAGACGCCTGTCTCTTTTACACGCCTGGTGTGGCGACAGGTTTGGGTAAATAGAGGCTGGGTCTGTTTTTTAGTTTTTGGGTTGTATTTAATCCTCTAAAACCGTCAGATCGTCCGCTTTTTGGCGGCCGCCAAAGCAAATTGTTGTCCCTCCAAAGCCTTTTTTGATCGATGAGTGATGTAGAATAGAATGACTGCTGCGCTTGACAGGGCGCGTTCGAGCAGAGAGAGAGAGAGAGAGAGAGAGAGAGAGAGAGACCCGGCCGCGCGCGCGCACTCTCACGTCTTCAAACACCACGAGCGCTGTCTTGCTCGCTCTCCCTCGCGCATATTAATCAAAATCAATTGACGCGATAGTAAACGGTCGGAAGACCGCAGTTTCACGTTGAGCATTTGGAGATTTTTAGAGATTAGAGACAGGCCTATACACTCAATGAACAACTCAACACTAAATTATAAAGGCCTGTCTCATATAGACGCCTGTCTCAAATACAAGCTGGTGCAGTTCGACGATTTGGGAAAATAAAAGCCCGGGCTACTATTTGAAGTTTTACGGTAGGCTATTTTGTAATAGCGCCACAGTTTAGCGCACCACGTATAACACTCGGGAACCGCACCTGTGACTGCGCTGCTGCGGCGCGGACGCGCTTGGAACAAACGAGCGCGTCGCTTCCATTATGAGCGCGCATACATTTGAAATAACGAACTTGAGCGCGATATGTGAGCAGGCCCTTTAACGGCTTTATTATGCTGACTCAATAGATTGTGTTTTCTTAAGGTTGTGTTTTTATTTGTACACTTGACGCGTTTGAAAAATAGCCTAAATAATATAACAAAACGAAAATAAACCTATATGCGGTCCTACTACAGCCTATTATTATTAGGATGGTTTTTTAGGCTATTTGGGTTTTTTGTGTGTTTGTTTTAAAACGCCTAGATTGGCAGGACAAAAGTTAACCCATAGCTTTGAAAGTAAAGAAGAATATACAGCCTGTATAAACGAGAGCTTTTGTAAGAATTTTTCATTATTTGGCAGTTTTAGCAGTTATATTTTTTGTAGCGTGTGGTGTGGTCAGGTGCGCGATTGTGACCATCACTATAGACCTAGGACAGAGCTCCTCACTTTGCAGTTAAAAAAATCACTTAATTTTCAAAGAATTGTATTATTATTATAGTTTTATGTATTATTGATGTTTTTTCGTTGTTGTTTTATAAATGCTCTATGACAATTGTTTAATAAATGTTCAATCAAAATGTAAAACATCGTGTCTTTTTTTTTTTTAGTCGACTGATCGTTGCGCAGGACAGGACTTTGGTCGACTAAGGATTTCTTTGGTTGACTACAGCCCAACCAGAGACCTACTGTGTTATTGTATTTTAAGTTAAAGGGACAGTTCATACAAAAATAAAAGCTGTGCCATTGTTTACTCTTATGTCGTATGAGATTCTTTTTTCCATGAAACACAACCTGAGATCTTTAGCAAATATCTAAGCATCCATTTTCCATGCATGAAATGTGGATGGTGATTTATACCGCAAAACTTACCATTCACTTTTGTGTATGGAGAACAGAAGCTCAGGTATCTTCTCTGGTAACACTTTTTTTCAATAATCCTTTGCAACTACATGTCAACTAGCAGTCATTAGAGTATTAATAAACTGTCTGCTTAATATCTGCTAACTCTTTATTTTGATGCTCCAAAACAGACATTTTACTGACTATAAGTAACTTTGCAAGTACATGTCAGCTTATTCTACTAACCCGAACCTGACAGTCTACTAATACCCTAATGATGTTAGCTGACATGCAGTTGCAAAGTTACTTATCTAAAAGTGGACTATCGAAATGAGTGATTTCGGAAGAACTATCCCTTTAAGAACATGTACTGGAACTAACACTTACCGAAGTAGTCTGACGGTCCTAACCTGCCGACCTCTACGAACTCCTCATTTTCTGACCTGCGCTGCAGAACGGCTGCACATCCCTGAGGAAAGAGACATGACTTTAGAAATCACCAGACTTGCACGCACACACACACACTGACAAGCTCTGAGCAGACGGGACACTCCACCTCCAGGATGATGAAGAACTCGTCTCCTGGTTCTCCCTGGACCACGATCTTCTGACTGTCCTCAAACTGCACCGGCTCCAGAGCGTCAGCCACAGTCAGACGCTCCCACTTATCCAGAGACTCTGCCATCATCACATACACTCATGTTACAGGAACTCCAGAGACACATCTCTCTCTCTCTGTGTGTGTCACTTACAGTAATACAATTTCAGTAAAAAAAATTATAGACAGATATAAAGATACATGTATAGATAGACAGACAGATACAACAATAGACTAGCTGACTTACAGAGAGATAGCCAGATAAATGACAGATAGATAGATAGATAGATAGATAGATAGATAGATAGATAGATAGATAGATAGATAGATAGATAGATAGATAGATAAAACAACAGATAGATAGATAGATAAAACAACAGATAGATAGATAGATAGATAGATAGATAAAACAACAGATAGATAGATAGATAAAACAACAGATATATATATATAGATAGATAGATAGATAGATAGATAGATAGATAGAGATATAGAGATAGATATAGAGATAGATAGATAAAACAACAGATAGATAGATAGATAGATAGATAAAACAACAGATAGATAGATAGATAGATAGATAGATAGATAGATAGATAGATAGATAAAACAACAGATAGATAGATAAAACAACAGATAGATAGATAGATAGAAAGATAGGGAGATAGAGATATAGATAGATAGAGATATAGATAGATAGAGATATAGATAGATAGATAAAACAACAGATAGATAGATAAAACAACAGATAGATAGATAGATAGATAGATAGATAGGGAGATAGAGATATAGATAGATAGAGATATAGATAGATAGATATAGAGATAGATAGATAGATAGATAGAATTACCTAAAATAGATACTTTGCTCAAGAACTCCTCGTACATCTTCCTCTTCCTCAAAGTGCTTCCCTGTAATCAAACACAGGATGTTTTGTAGAATGAAATGCCTCTTGAGTGTGTGTGTGTGTGTGTGTGTGTGTGTGTGTGAGGAAGGGAGAGACGCACCATCAGTATTCTCCTGTAGCTGTCTCTGTCGATGCCCCAGAGCTTGGCGTTGGTCTTGGCTCTGACGGTGGCGGCTCTCGGGGTCCCGTAGATCAGAGCCAGTTCCCCAAAACTGCCGCCCTCTCCGATGTTGGTGGCCCACTCGCTGTTCACATACACCTGAGAAGAAACAGCGTCGTCACACACCACTTCTGAGTCGAGCTGTACACTGATAGAGGACACATCTACAGTGGGACTGGATTTTCTCCATCAGGAATTGTTGAAAACGTTTATGGTTTATGCTAACACTTTACAATAAGGTTCATTAGTTAATGTATTAACTAACCATGAGCAATACATTTGTTACTGTATTAGTTCATCTTTGTTCACAAAAAAATACAGCTGTTCACTGTTATTTCACAGTGCATTAAATAATGTTAACAAGATTTTAATAAAGTATTAGTAAATGTTGAAATTAACAAAGAATAAATGCTGTATTTGTGCAGTTCATTATTAGCTCATGCTAACTAATGTAGTTAACTAACAAACCTTATTGTAAAGTGTAACCTGGTTTATTATATGAATACATCCTAAACTGTGGAGGTGTAACTTACATCCATTTCCCCCTGGTCAATGACATAGAAGTTATCACCCTCGTCACCTGGGAAACAAGTGCGAAACAAAAGAGTGAAGGTAAATAAAATGTACAAATAATGTTAATATGACTCTTCATAAGTGTTTTTAAAGTTCTACCTTGTTGGATGACAATCTCTCCGGCAATGTAGGTGACTGGAAACATTGCGTCGAATATGTCACTGTAGGAGAGAGCAGAATAGAAATTATTTGACATTTATTTAAGGCAAGACACACATCAGGTTTGAAGGGTTAAAAATTAACTAATAGATATCATCATACTTCCCCAGCTGATTGATCACATCTTTACATTTTATATTACAAGTGTTCTTGCTTTTCAAATTTAAGCATACACATGAGGCATTATTAATTAACAATGCACTAATTTGCATATCTTTTTGCAACAAAAATCTGAACTCTGGATAAAGCCAGGTTTAAAATTATTTTTGGGTGTCTCTTTTTATCACTCCATAAATAAATAAATAAATACAGTCAGCAGCCATATAAAAAAGAATTGTTTTTAGGAATAAAATGTTATAAATCAGGACCTTCAGAATATATGGGTGTGTGTGTGTGTAAAGCTGCTGAAGTGGAGATTCCTGACTTTAAAGATATGTATTGAAATTGATATAATCTATATGCAAATAGACCCTTACAAGTGTATGTTGCATGTTTTCTTTCCACTAGTCTGAAAATAGTTATGAAAAGTCAAATAGCCCAAAATCTCAAAACTGACCAGTGCATGAATATAATAATACAAAATAAAATAAATAAAGTCACCTTCTTTCATTGTCATCCAGATGTGAGAAGAGCACGTTCTTTTCGATGGCTTTGGCGAGCGCGGCCATGGTTTTGTAGTCTTTAGGGATGACCTTCACAGAGACAGAAGAACACATGACTGCTTCACCTGACGGACATCACACACATCATGTGACTGTGAGACATACACACCTTCCTGACGTAGGAGGCGGCGTCCTCCTCGGTGTAGACCTCAGCGCTGATGGCTCCTCTCCGCCTGCGACCCTTCACCACGGGGTTCATGGGAGGAGACGCCTCATCTTCACGAGAGTCAGAGCGAGAACTGGCCTTCTGCTGGTTCAGGAGCTGCTTCGCTTCCTCCTGTGTAGCCATATTAAAAAAGAAAAGAAAAAAGGAGAGGATTATGGTTGGATTTGCAGTCCCAGTGAAACAGAAGCAGCGTTAGATCTGTTCTTCTGTATTGTGACACAAATCTGAATGGAACAAATTGTAGAGCAGGACTTGTTGGATTTTGGGATGTGGGAGTTGCACTCAAGGCTTGCAGTTAGTGTGAGAAAGGGGAGGGGTTTCCGAACTAAATGATTGGAGAAGTCCAGCATACTAGTCCAGTTTCACTGGAAAATCCAGAAAATTAAGGCAAAAAAACAAACAGAAGATGCATGGATGAATCGTTCACAATAACATCTACAACATGCATTCAGAAAATAAACAGGGTAAATTTTTATTTTATGCAGACGAAAAATCCAAATGTTTAATTTATATACATATATAATTATTATTATTATCGATAGCTAAAACTATTTTTGTTAATTGAAAACAAAAAAATAAAAATCAAATATAACTAAAAACTTAATTCAATTAGTTTCCAGAGCAACATTTTTTTATTTTCATTTAGTTTAGAATGCGAACTGGAAATAAATAAACATTCAAAATGAACTAAAACAGAAATAAAAGTAAATTTAACGCATTTGGTAAAATACACCAAAAAAAAGAAAAAAACTCATTGAAATGACAAAAGCACAAAAATACTAATAATTAAACTGAAAACCAAAAATATAAAAACAAGTGCTTATTAAAAAATTTATGAAAAGTATATAAATGATACACACAAATATTTAAAAAAAAAAATTTTATTCTTTTGACAAAAAAGTTCCAACATTATAATTTTTTATTTGTACACATTTAATAACATGAGGCCTAATATGCTGGATAAATAATTACAATTATTATTGAAAGTTTATGTCTTACATTATATTGCTTTTGCCACTGGTTTATAAAAACTAACTCGCTCACGCTCACTAATTGTTTTATTAAACACAACTTTCTTAATGTAAAGTCATGTCAGCAAGGGTTCCAGATCTCCGTCAGAATGATCCTAACGTACAAACCTTTTCCAGCTTCTCGAAGTGTTCCCGGAGGAAGGCCATGGGTCTGTCGGGCCGTGAGGTGCACAGCTGCACGATACAGTCCTTCAGCAGCTGCTGGATGTTGTGTTTCTGCACGTATATCTCACACTCCCTCAGACTCTTCTCCTCCTCACTGCCCGCGCTGCCTGATGCCATGATGGACGCTGGATCTGACCTCTGACCTGCAGTGAGACACCACACAAACAAGTGACATGCTGCTGACTAAATGAAATATAGTCATTTCAATCAATTATTAACCATATGAAGGATCCGTGAAAACAAATACAGAAGGTCTGACATCTATTTATTTCTTTAAAATGTATTACATGACATATTCCATAATATAAAACCAATAATTAGGGTAAAACTAAAAAAAATGTTTGAGCCATATTAATAAAGATATTCTGGATTATTCAAATGATGTTGGATGTTCTTTGTTATGATGTTGTTCTTTCCTATAATATTGAGAAACTCTGATATGTAAATGTTGCAGAATTAATAACAATATCATTAACGTCTGCACATGATGAAAATACATTCTGACCCAGCTAGAGGACAGGAACAGGATTACAGCATCATTTATGCGATTGGTGTCAGGAATAATCTGGAGATTATCTTTGTTTTCAACACACCTGTGCAGTTTGATTCACTGCATGAACTATATGCGTTTCCTATGATTCATTATTTACAGAAAAACAACTTTATGTTGCTTATATTAGTATTATTAGACATACAATTATTTTCCACTTCAACAGCATCAATCAGAATACTAGTATATTTAGGATGAACGACACGATCACAAATTTAAACCCATTTCACAAGGGCAGCAGAATATGAAAATATAATTTTAATACACATCAAAACGCAACTCAAAGTGTCAAAATACAACAGAACAGACATGCCGTAATCTAAAATGACCTGTTAAATGGTTAAACCTTAAAACAAATGAACCTTAAATCAAATAAAATATAACAGGCTCCTGAGTGGCGTGTTAAATGCTATTAAAATGAAGCTACAAATATCTAGCCGAAGGCCGCTGAGTGGTCGCCATCTTTATCTGTATCATAAACAAATGACATTTACAGCATTTACCGATCGTTACAGATGTTTAGCGCTACATCTAATCGACAGAAACATGACATTTCGAGTATCGTTATTTCTTACCGAGCCTTTATAACGCGACTCGGCTTCTGCGTTATTCCGTTATTCAGAGACGGCGCAACAACTCTTCTTCACAGGCGCTTGGACGTCTGCCAACCGGAAATGGTAAAACACCAATCAAAGCCTGCCATTGACGTCAATGCGCCTCGTTCTCACATGGAAACTGTAACCCTTGGTAACCTTAAAGGGAACGTAGCACCTGAGTACCATACTCGTAATTCTCCCCAATAAAAACACTTAAAGGCCCCTTCATACCAAGAACGATAACTTTAAAGATAACGATGAAGATATAGTTTTAAAAATCTTTCTCAATGTTAAATAATGGCAGAGTTCACACCACAGCTATAATGATAACGGCACAGAGAAACGATATCGTTGGAATAACCTTTAAGGCTAGTTCACACCAAGAAAAACTATAACTATAATAACAAAAAAGATAACTGTGTCCACACCAGTGGACGATATTGTTCTGTTTACTGTAAGCGCGTGCTTGTCTGTCACTTTAAATTCTCGAGCAGGTTTCTTTACCGTAGGATGGATTCTGATTGTCTGTCAATGTTTTTATTGTTCATCAGCTGGATAAAACCGTTCTGATCCTAATTATATTGTTTCTTTGTGCCATTGTCGTTATAGCTGTGGTATGAACTCTGCTACTATTTAATATTGAGATTGTTTAAACTATATCTTTATTATCTTTATAGTTATTGTCCTTGGTGTGAACGGATCTTTAATCTTTAAACATGTATCTTTATGTACGTTAACTATCTGGATATCATTATTTATTTTATTTTATTTGACCTAAGTACAATAAATTAATAAATAAATAAATTAATTAATTAATTAATAAAAACGGCAGACTATTTACAGACTATAACTAAACAATCGCATGGGCCTCAATGGTTGGTCTGTTTTGAATTTTATACAATATCGTTTAAAATCAATTTCTATGTGGCGAAAATTACAAAGATTTTACGTAACACTGCGTTCAAGCGCTGCTGTCGCGACCTTTATTTTGAAAACGGCTGTCAACACCGGAAGTTTCATTGGTACGAATGCTGCTGAATTTGCTGAGATGAGAAGTGTATTATTTTGAATGTGTGATCATCCTTAACGTGTTTCATGCAGTTGCAAACATGAGCTGAATCATTTTATGAGCAATTCGGTGGAAAACCTTTACGGAGCCAGATTTGGTGGTACGTATCTTTTTAATCTTTTTCGTTTACCTGCCGGTGCATTATGAGCATCTTCACGTGATGTTCACATGTGAAGAATGTATATAACGTTACAGCCGCTGTCCACTGCAGTGACCGTAGAAACACACCAGCCCTCATATACTTCTTTACTAGTCTGTTCGTCCATTATATTGACCTGGGTTGTCTTTGTTCTGCTGTTGTAATGGAAAGTGTATCCTCTGGTCAGAAGTGAAAGTGTACACCTGAGGTCATATATCCGGTCTCAGTGTTACAGTGTGTCAATCATAACCATGGCAGTGGAACCAGGTCAAGTGTGGGACAGATGGCAAACGTGCACTCTTATGCCCACAGTACTGAGCTTAGCTTGTGTCTGTTCAGTGTCTATGCTGGTTACTTTAGTCCTGAGTTTCTTAAAATGTCCTGAAATAATCCACAAAGTGCAAGAGTAACGTTAAGTAAACGTGCTAACAGGATATGTGAGCGTACTCTGCTGTAAGAAGTGACAGAGGGTGCAAAGCTCCTTACTTTTGGAGGAAAAGGGGCTTCCCATGCAAACACATTCTGTCCAGATGCACATATTTGTATTTTTTTTAGCTTGCAAACTCTTAAAAAGGAAATCTGATGCATTTTGTAAGGGACTGAGAGCCTCGTCAATCTTTTTGAAATTAAAGTGAATGGTGACTGAGACTCTAAATAACATCTGGGTTTCTCAGAATACAGGAAGTCAAATGAGTTTGGAGGATGTCAGAGAGTAAATGATGAATATGTAATGTTTAAATGCTATTTTCTGCAAGCAAATATAAATTGTGCCTATTTACGAGTTTCCCCACAGAACAAATTTGGGTTACACTAACCAAACCCTAATCCTACACTTAACATTTTACAGTGTCCTTGTTACTCATGTTACATGTAGTTTGTATAGTATAAGTTACTATAAATTATGCATAATTACATGCAACTAACCTTAACCCAAACCTAATCCTACCCCTATAGTAAGTACATGTAGTTAAATTACTATCACTCAGTACTTATGTGTATAATTACACTTTAACAATGAAACCTTGAAATAAAGGGTTACACTTTATTTGGTAATACTTTATTTTATAATGTCCTTGTTACAGTGTAATTTAAACTAGGTACTGAGTGATAGTAATTGACTACATGTACTTACTATAGGGTTAGGATTAGGTTTAAGGTTAGTTGCATGTAATTATGCATAATTTATATACTAACTACTATACAAACTACATGTAACATGAGTAACAAGGACACTGTAAAATAAAGTTGAACCCTTTTTTAAGGTGTCCTTGTTTCAGTGTAATTAAATAAGTACTCAGTAATATTAATTAATAACATGGTTTGGTTTATAGGGTTAGTTGTTGCTTATGCATAATTTACTGTTATTAGTATAGATGTGTAGCAGGGACACTAAAATAAAGTGTTCCCCAAAATAGTTTATTTTAGTTTTATTTATTTGTTATTATTATCAGTATGCACCTCGGACATTAGTTGATAACCCTTTTAATTTTTATATTTAATATCTTTGGTCTCTGCATATACTTCCATTTGTGTTATTTTATATCTAAGATGACCCTTTTTTTCCATTAAAAACATTAAAATCTGTGTTCTGACCTGAGAGTTTACATTCGAGGATTGTGTTTCATTAAAAGCTTTTTAACTTGGTAACAAGCTACTTTATTCAATTCAATTCAACTCAAGTACTTTATTGTCATTGTGAGGCACAATGAAATGACTCTTGTGACAACCCCAAAGGTGCATTTAAAAATATCCATTTAAAATAAAACAGCACAAGTTAGTTAACAATACATGTAGATACAAATAAATAAATAAATTCAAGATGAAATATAATAACAATATAATAAATAAATGCAATATAAAAGCTAGGAAACTGAATCATAATACAAAATATTTCAAAATTGCTCAGAATATCGTCAAAATGCCATATCCATTGTTAATGCAAGGGAACCAACACATTATTATTATTATTGCACGAGTGTATATTAGCAGCATGAATTATTATTGCACTCGAACAGTGAGTCACACATTGCCAACAACCTTATTATACATGGCCAAACAGGAAGATATCAGAGTTGAACATGGTTATTGCTGTCGGAAAAAAAAAACATTTTTTTAGTCTGTTTGTGGGTAAACGGATTTACCAAAAGCGCCTGCCGGATGGGAGGAGGTGAAACAAGTTATGACAAGGGTGAGTGCTGTCCTTGAGGATGTTATTGGCCCTTCTTATGAAGGGGTTGTTTAACTGATGGCAGATCAATGCCACTATGTCCTGTGCTGTTTTTATAACCTGCTAGGTCATACAGTTAGTCAAGATGCTCTCTATAGTACATCTATAGAAGCTGACCAACAGCTTCTGGGGAAGGTTAGCTCTCCTTAGCCTTCTCAGAAAGTAGGATACTTTAATTTTGCAGACCTGATACCTCTCTTGAGATTAGCTCTTGCAACTGTGCAAGCGGAGATATCTCGTGATTTAAAGGCTTTTAATTGGTTCATTTAACCAGGTAAGCACATTGAGAACACTTTCTCATTTACAATGGCGACCTGGTCAAGATAAAAAGCGCCGAGGTACAAGAAACATAAGTTACACGTGTAATTTACAAGACAAAGAGTACACAGTAAACATAGAAAATGAATATGTAATATGCAGATCCGCAGATCAGACTTTTACAATTTTGTACAACTAATGCAAAAGAGTAAATCGGGTTAGCATGTACAATGGTCAGGCAATAAATTTGCTAACAATAATTTAAATTGCCCTTGCCCTGAGCAGCTGTTTGACTTCATTGTCCATTACTGTTTCTCGTTTGATACACTCCACACCACTGACACCATGTGACTTCAATATGACGTCATCATCACGTCACGGCATGTAATTGTCTTCACCACAAGCTCACCTTCCACCTGCGACATTTGGAAAAACGAAGTGCTCCCGGGTGTCCAGATGCCTCGTCTCATTTGAGAGGAACCCCATGGGACTGGGATAAAAATACTGCCTCAATCTTGTAACTAATACTCACTTTCATCATCAGCCCCTGGCCGTATCAGATGGACACTTATTGTCCTCCTGAGGAAGTGCGTCCAGTGCTGGGTTACATCGGTCTTGTGACTTGAAACTTTTCTTAAGTTGGTTGTTGTTGTTACATAAGGTGAACTGCCAAGGACTTGATTAAATATTTAGTGTGTTTTTTCTGCCTCGGACATTAGTTGATAATCCTGCGCAATAGTTATACACCCCTTGACCAGGTATTTTGATCTCACTACGTTTTATGTAATCAAACTAATGCTTTTCTGTGTGCGTGTCTATGGTTGCAGTTCTGGAGTAGATCTCTTGGAAATGCCACAGTTTCTCTCTTGGTACAGACAAGCTAAGGACCATTTTTATTGAGTCCTATTTTTGAATGCATTTATTTGCTTAGAAAATCAGAAACAATAAGAGTTGGGTAAGGATTTTAATTACGCTCTGTGTGCCTAAAAGATTTTGTCTTTTTTTTGCACAATTTATTTATTATTTATTTGCTTATTTAATAATTACTTATTTAATATCTTGGATATTTGAATATGTTCTATGTGTGTGTGTGTGTGTGTTTATTTGATTTAAATTTGTTTATTTAATTAGTTATTTACTTGCTTTTTTATTTATTTTATTTATTCATTTATTTTTCCAGAATATCTTGGAATGTTATATATATATATATATATATATATATATATATGTGTGTGTGTGTGTGTGTGTGTGTGTTATTTTCTTATAATTTTAAAAATTAAATTAAATGAATGATGGACAATCTAATGTTTTTGTGTTTGTTTGTTTTTTACATTTTGAATTCATTTGTTACTTTAACTTTAGTTACTTGTATATTTTTCTCGAATATCTTCTATGTACAGTGTGTGTTT